TCGTCGCCCTCGCGTTCCTCAGCAACGAGGCCGACGCCCTCGCGCTCAAGATCAGCGCGCCCCGTCGCGCTTCGCGCGGGTCGTCGGTGGCCATGTCCCTGGCGCCGCGCCGGGCCCTCCCCGGTGCGCTCGCCGCCGGCGCCGCGGCGTTGACGGCGACGGGCGCCCGCGCCGCCGAGGCCCAGCGCTGGGCGGCGTCGGAGCTCCTCGACCAGGTCAAGTCCGGCGCCGTGGAGAAGGCGACGTTCGCGTCGGACTCGAGCGGTTTGGTCGCCGTCGACAGCGACGGCGCGCGCCACGACGTCCAGCTCCTGTCGTCGCAGACGTCGGAAGTAGTGCAGCTCCTGCGGTCCAAGGGCGTGCCCTTCGACGTCGCCGCGCCCGTCGCCGACGCGGGCCAGTTGGTCGAGACGGTCGCGAACGTCGGCGTGCCCTTGCTCCTCCTCGGCGGCCTCTTCTTCCTCTTCCGCGGCGGCGGCCAGGGCGGCGGCCCCATGGGCGGCGGCGACGGCCCCATGGGCATGCTCCAGAGCCGCGCGAAGATCGAGGTCGAGCCGGAGACGGGCGTGACCTTCGCGGACGTCGCGGGCTGCGACGCGTCCAAGTTGGAGCTCGAGGAGGTCGTCGAGTTCCTCAAGTCGCCCGACAAGTTCGAGGCCGTGGGCGCCCAGTGCCCGCGCGGCGTCATCCTCGAGGGCCCGCCGGGCACGGGCAAGACGCTCCTGGCCCGCGCCGTCGCGGGCGAGGCCGGCGTGCCGTTCATCTCGACGTCGGGCTCCGAGTTCGTCGAGATGTTCGTCGGCGTCGGCGCGAGCCGCATCCGGTCCATGTTCGGCGACGCGAAGAAGAACGCGCCCTGCATCATCTTCATCGACGAGATCGACGCCATCGGCCGCCAGCGCGCGTCCGGCGGCGGCTTCCAGGGGGGCAACGACGAGCGCGAGCAGACGCTGAACCAGATCCTCACGGAGATGGACGGCTTCTCCGGCAACTCGGGCGTCATCGTCATCGCCGCGACGAACCGCGTCGACATCCTCGACCAGGCGCTCATGCGCCCGGGCCGCTTCGACCGCAACGTGCCCGTGCAATTGGCGGACAAGGCCGGGCGCGCGGAGATCCTCAAGGTCCACGTCCGCGACAAGCCCCTGGCGCCCGAGGTCGACATCGACACCGTCGCCGGCCGGACCATCGGCTTCTCCGGCGCCCAGCTCCAGAATTTGATGAACGAGGCCGCGATCTTCGCGGTCCGCCGCGACGGCGACGTCATCGAGATGCGGGACGTCGAATCCGCGCTCGACCGGTTGACCGTGGGCCAGGCCAAGCAGACGGGCACGAACAACAAAAAGCGCCAGGAGCTCGTCGCCTACCACGAGGCGGGCCACGCCATCATGGCCGCCATGACGCCCGGCTACGACGCCGTCGCCAAGGTGACCATCGTCCCCCGGTCGAACGGCGCGGGCGGCTTCACGCTCTTCACGCCCAACGAGGACCGCGCCGAGTCCGGCATGTACTCCTTCTCCTTCCTCAACGCCCAGCTCGCCGTCGCGCTGGGCGGCCGCGTCGCCGAGGAGCTCGCCTACGGCCAGGAGGAGGTCACGACGGGCGCGTCGAACGATCTGCAGCAGGTCCGCGACATCGCGCGGCGCATGATCGCCCAGTGGGGCTTCCGCGCGACGCCCGGCAGCCGCGGCGAGAACGTGCTCCGCGCGCCCGTCGCCTGGGAGGAGGCCGAGAAGCAGATGGGCGGGCCCCAGACCGCGTCCAAGTCCACGGAGCGCCTCATCGACGTCGAGACCAAGGCGCTCGTCCAGGGCGCCTACGACAAGTGCTACGCGACCCTCGAGTCGAACAAGAAGCTCCTCAAGGCCGTCGTCGACGAGCTCATGGACAAGGAGACCATCGACCAGAGCCAGTTCATGGCCCTCGTCGCGGAGTACGGCGACAAGGAGGCGGCCGTCGCCGTCGCGCGATAGGAGGCGCGCCGTCGCCCCGCCCCGCGCGCCCCGACCCAAGCACCGGGCCGCGTAACTCGCCGTCACTTCGTGTTACGCTTCCCCGCGCTGCCCCGCGCGTAGAACGCGATGCCCGCGACGACGTTCGTCACGGACACGACCTTGATGGGCGTGAGGCACTGCGCCGCGTCGCCGTCGCAGAACGCGGCGGCGGAGATGCCGACGACGAAGACCATCTGGACGCCCCGCGAGATGGCGATGGACACGGCGCCCGCCGCCTCGAGGAGCGCGTAGTGCGCCAGCGCGTGCGCGAGGTCCGCGGCCCAGAGGCACGCGTATATCGAAAACACGTTCGACGGCGTCGACCCGTGCTCGCGGATGCTCCGGAAGTAGAGCCGGTCCGCGCCGTGGTGCGCCAGCAGCGTCGCGTTGTGCGCGAGGAGCACGGACGCCTCGACGACGCCCAGGTACGTCGCCAGGCGGAACGCCGTCAGCGGCCGCTGCTCCCCGGCCGCCGCCGGCGGCTCGTCGTCGAGCGAGCCCCGGCCGCCCGACGGCGTCGGCGGCCTCTCCCGGTCGCTCGACGCGCCGTCGTCGTCGGCCGTCGCGTCCTCGGGCGCTTTTTCCAAAAGCGCGTCCGCCGCCGGCTCCGCCGGGGCCGCGTGGCCCGCGACCGCCGTCTCCGCGTAGACCAACATGATCTATGGAGCACGGACCCGGCGATGATCGTGCCCGCGCCGACCTCGGTCTTGAAGAGCGCCTTGGCGCCGCGGCCCAGGGCGTCCTCCATGGACGCCGCGCCGTTGAGCGCCATGCCCAGCGTCACGAGGCCGACGCCGAACCACTGCGTGAGCGAGAACCGCTTGCCGCCGACGAGCCGCGAGAAGAGCGCCGCGAACGCGATGGACGAGCTGAAGAGCACGGCGTAGATGCCCGAGCCGACGAAGAGCAGGCCCAGCATGACGAGGAAGTTCGCGCAAAAGTCCATGACGACGACGACGCCGATGCGCCGCTTCACCATACTATCGACGTCGGCCCAGCCGGCGACGTAGGCGCGCCAGCTCCAGCGGCTCGCCTCGGCGTAGGTCCCGCGCCGCCGCCGGTCCAGGACCAGCTCCTTGATGGGGGCGACGCACGCCATCGCCAACGTGTTGGCGACCATGGGCAGCATGGACACGCCCGTGCCCCCGTGGTAGCGGAGCCAGTCGACGAGCGTCGGCTGCAGCGCGCCGGACGCCGCGTAGGCGAGCGCGCACAGGGCGACGTAGCGCTGCGTCGCGTCGAGGGTTGCGGTGGGCGTCGGCGCGGGTTTGCGGTGCTCGGGGGTGTCGGCGGCGGGGGCCGAGCCCGGCGGCGCGGCTTTCGGTGTCGTCGCATCGCTGCGCCGCTTGCCGAAGCCGACGCCGACCTGCTCCTTCCGCTTCGCCGGCGTCTCCTTCCGCCGCCCGAACATGGCCTCTTATCGTCGTTGCTCTGTGCACAATCTCCGCGCCATGCTCGCTTTTGAGGGGCAACAAGTGGTAAATTTTGATGCGTTGACGCCCGTTGCATGGTCATGGGCAGCTAACGATGGGCCTCTAGACTAGCCCAAAATGACCGACGCTACGACCATACGCTACCTCGAGGCGTCGATCAGCGAGCTGGCGCCGAAGGAGTTCGACGCCGCCGCCTTCTACCGGTCCAAGCTGCGCAAGACGGCCAGCGTGCAGATCGTCCGCGTCTCGCGCCGCGACCTCGACGAGGGCGGCGGCATCTCCGTCGTCGTCTCCGGCGCGTCGCGGGAGGTCGCCAAGCTCTGGCGCGCCTGGAGCGAGCGGCGGACCTACATCCACGCGAACCGCAAATGCGTCCTCTGGGCGCGGCACGCGCCGTCGACGGAGCCGCCGCGGTCGCGCGGCGAGAACGTCTACGACGGCGCGCGCGTCAACTGGGACGCGCGGACGCCCCGGGGCCCGCGGCGGCGCGACATGTGCGACATTCTGGACTTCCTCGGCCGGGACCTGCTGACCGTCAAGGCCGCCTTCGAGGACGAGTGCCGCGTCGGCGAGCGGAAAAGCTCGCTGCGCGCGGCCGCGCCGCGGAGCAACGACGACGACGACATCGACCGCCTCGTGCTGCCCCTGGCCGG